TTAAATATGCCTTAACCTTATTTAGCCTAATTATCTATTGTTACATAATTTACAAAGTTATTTCAACCCAATGCTGATCTTTGATACATTCTAATAAAAGTTAAAACGCAGTTTTAAAGTACATTGTGTTACACGAGGTAGGGAGCATAGTTTATTTTATTAAGTATCTAAATTATCATTTTCGTTATCAGTACTAATTTTAATCTTGTTTTATTATCAGTTACTAATACAATTGAAATTATAAGATTTTTATCATAGTTAAATTTGATTTTCTATTTAATAAAACATAATACTGGTTTTAAACGAATATTTCACACCAATTGAAATGATTTTCTCCAATGGTAAATAATTTGTGATAATTTTTTTTACTAATTGCAATATTTTATTTTTAGCTGGATGCATGTTCTTATTGTTTTCATTCTCAAAAATTTCTTACCATTTTCAAAATTCATAAACTTACATTTTCTAAGAATAATATAGCAAGACAACTCAGAGAAAAATTTATGATAAAATTACCGTACATTGTTTACCATGGTAATGACATTTCCGGTGAAAAAAACCATAATTCTGGTAATAAGAACCTAAATATACAGTATTTAAACCATTCATTTGGCAATTTTCTGTTCATATAGAGCGGTTAACCTAAAATTCTGACTTTCAGAATTATAGTTCTTATTACTATACATTTAGAAGAAAAAAATACAAAACTAAAATGTAAACTTAATCAAATAAATGTTTTTTTATGCCATTCTCTAAAATATAATGATAAAATTACCAAATTTTATCACATATTATCTATCCATATTTCGTAATTTTACCAAAATCATTATCAAAGCGTTTCGGTAAAAATTACCGAGCTTCTTGCTGCTCCATAGGATTAGATAAACGGTTAATTTTATCATATTCTAGTAATTTTAGCTATATTTTTTTTATCTGTGGAAATATATTTTTCCATTATAGGCAGATTTATTTGTAAAAATATTGGCATACTATGTTATGAAGTTAATATTTATACGTAATTGCTCTTTAAATTTATTCCGTGTAAGGTTAATATTAATACCTATAGAAACTGTTTATAAAATGCATAAAAATGTTCAAAAACATTAAAAAATTTTAAACTGTCATTCCATAAATAATCTAGAAATAGCAGTAATTACACCTCAAAAAAAAAAAAAAAAAAAAAAAAAAAAAAAAAAAAAAANAAAAAAAAAAAAAACAGATATAAGTATCTAAAAGCGTATTAAATTGTATAAGTAAAACGAAAAATTTCTTGCCGCAAAAATAAATATTCCAGGTCTGCGAACACAAAATTACATTTAATTAATAAGAAAAATATTCTAAATCTACAAACACAAAATTACATTTAATTAATAAAAAAAAATATTCTAAATCTACAAACACAAAATTACATTTAATTAATAAAAAAATGAGGAGTGAGGAAAACTTCGGGATGATTTCAGGATGAAAATAAATTAGATAGAATTCTTGAAAAAATTATCTGGCATTGCTTAAATTTTTTTTCTCAAATAAAATTAAAGCCTGTTTTGAAAAGTTTGGTGGCCTGTCTTATTTGGAAAGTCATTACCCGCATCGATTATCTCTTCAACGATGCTCTTATTTTGAGGGGGTGCAAAAAAACTTTCGACGATCTTCCGTTCTCTCTCTCCCAATGCAGCCTTATTTAGCAAAGAGAAAAAGAACAACACTGGATCCCTAGTCCTATTTATAAACTTGCTGCTCCCTTCTATTTTCTCAACTTCTACTGAAAGTATTCTGAGAAATGGATTTTAGGTTAACTTCTGGAATGAAAAAAAAAAGAGTGTTGATGATTTGTCGCATTGTTTCTAGAGCAACGCTTGCAAATGTATGAATGCATTGTAAGATAAAAATTAAACAGAAGATTGAATTATATAAAGTGAAAAATAAGTTTACTGAGGTAAATGTATATTAATAATATTATTCAGAGGAGAAATGGATTTTAGATTAACTTCTGGAGTGTAAAAAAAAGAAGAAAAAAAGAAAGAAAATTGAGGATTTTTCGCATCGTTTCTAGAGCAACGCTTGCAAATGTATGAATGCGTTGTAAGAAGAAAAATTGAAATATTTCTTTTCAAAATTCTACTTAAGATTGAACTGCAAAAACAGCAAGACAATTTATTTTAGAGCATTTATGTTAATAAATTTATTCAGAAGAGAAATGGATTTATGGTTAACTTCAGGAATAAAAAAAAAGAATATTGATGATTTGTCGCATTTTTTCTAGAGCAGCGTTTGCAAATGTATGAATGCATTTAAAAACAACATACGACAATTAAAACCAAATTCATTCATATAAATTTAAAGTGCAAATATATTTAAGCAAATTTAAATTATATAATGTATTTAAGACTGTATTTTTTTCAAAGTTCCTAAATTAATTTATTTTCGACAAATTTCGAAATATATTTAAATAAATTAAAAATTTAATTCTATAAATGTATGTAATTAATCAAATTTGCAACGGAATGAATGCATTTTTCTCATTTTGCATTTCAAAAATAAGTATATAGCAAAAATATCATTATAAATATAAATGAATACATTAATATAAATGAATAAATATAAATGAAATATAAATGAATGAATTGAATGCAAAATTTTAAAAACAAAACATTCATAAATGCATATTGAGAAAAATTAAATAAAAACTCTTTTTCTTTAGCACGACAGTAGTCAAAGGCTGTCTTCATGAACCTGTCCATCCGACCCTGTGACATAAATATTAGTACGAATAAATATTGTTTCTTAAACTTTGTATCAAATATAATTTTTAAAAAAATGTAATGAACTACAAAATTTCGACTTTGGATGCAAACCTAAGAATGAAGGTTTGTTACATATCTTTTAAAAATCAACAATATTGTAAAATTAACTTTTTTCTTCCTAAAATTAGTACAAATTTCATAATACTTGTTGTTTCTAATGTCTCTTGCCAATACTGCTTGGTGAAACAAAGCGAATTGTAAAGAGGAGGGTGCATTTCCTGTTTTTCAGTGGTGCCATCTACGGCCAAGAATACGACGTCATTCAAATACACGTCACAGCCCGTTTATAGGTCACCATTGGACACGGAGAGTCTACGGCAGGCGGGAATCGAACCCATGACCTATAGGACATGGGGGTCCAACGCCCAACCAACCTATCCGGGCCTCTACAAAACACTTAAAAATATAAATTTGCAAGTACATTTAAAAAGTGCTAATATATTCAAAGGAATTAAAAATATATTTTAACAAATTAACGAGTAGATCTTTTGAATTATTTTTAAATAAATTAAAATCTACAAACGCATTTAATAAAATCAATTCAAAAAGCTAAATAAATTTATATACTCAGATTAATAGAGAATAAGCCAAATTTATAATTAAAACAAATAAATTTCCAATTCGTTTTAAAACTTAACGCGACGTAACAAATTTTTAAAATATAATATTTTTTTAGGATAATGAATTAATTTTTTTAGAAATATTAAAATCAATAAATATTTTTAAAATTTTATTTTTCTATTCTTTGCTTTATATGTACTTAATAATATTTTATTGTATGATATCTCATTATAACTATTTTTGCTAGAACAAGAAGTGTCAAAGTTTAAATAATAACAATTTAATTATAAATTTAATATGAATATAAATATTCCAATATTATAAACAATTCGAAAAACAATTATTCGATGAGTAGCGTATTTTTTGAATAATTTTTAATTATTTAATTTTTCAGTTCTAAGCCTAAGATTATTATTTTTTTTTTAAATTTTACTATAGTTCCTAAGTTCTAAATTTACTGTTATCTAATGAAATAAATAAGTCAAGAAAATTTTAACTCAATCGAAAGTGCAAGTCATAAAAATATTAGAAGCTAGTTTTAATATATTTCTGACAATAAATGGGAGTAAAATGGAAATTACTTTTAATATTTAAGCCATCTTAAAGCTTTAAACCATTTTTAAGTTGGCCAAAAATAAGTTTTGCTACACATTTGAATTCTTAGTACTTAAATCTGAGTATTAAAAGGCTTTATATTACTCTTTTTATTCTTTTATAATTCAAAAAATTTTAGTTTTCAAAACCTTCTGTTCAATCAGAGGTGGGTAGAAAACTGCTAGACGCATCAGTTAAAAAAATGCCAGATTTACCAGACTTATACAGTATGAAAAAAATGAATCTAGCATAAGACACAAGCAAAAGATTTCAAATATCTTTTTTGATCTAAAGATGTCTGCTGTTTTACATTTCATAAGCCGTTTTGCGCCAAATTCATTTAAGAAAGTTTAGGAAACTTGCCAAATCAATTTTTACGCTTCGTTTCTAAAGTAAAAGAAGACCTGGGAAAATAGTTATTACTTCAATTTACGGAAAAAAAGCACGATTTATAATCTTTTTGCTTTGGATAAAAACTAAAAGTTCCAGTATAATACATATTTAGAATTTTTTTATTATTTGGTTAATTGATTTTTAATGATACTCGTATATTTATACCTTTATAAGCATTTTAAAATTTAATAAATTGAATTAAAATTATTTTTTGAATAAATAACTTTTCATCTTGACCATCGTTATCATTCTTGTAGAATTTTGAATTTAAAGCAGAGCTTTATAATAAAAATATCTTTAAATGATTTAATAAATTTTACTAAAAAAATTTGTAGCTGAATATTAACTTTAATATTCCTAGATATAAAAAATGAACAATGAAGGATCATGAATGAACTTACTTTTCATCGAATAATTGAATATTTTCTCATAAAGTTTTGGGCATCATTTAGAATTAGTCTTATCATTTACTTAAGATAATGATCAATCATAACTATTGGCTTATTAATAACAGTATTTGAGTTTTCGAATTAGAATTCATAATAAAAATATTATGGTATTAACTAATCATATGTGCTGTTTTAAAATTTTTGTATTTAGTTAGTGAAATTTTTTATACGAAAATAAAATTTTACCGTTTTCTTTTAGGTCCCACCCAGTTTGGGCCCTTCAATCATAAAACATGGCAGAGTGAGTAGAAAAATTCTGGTTTTCAGCTACTAAAAATAAAATTTAGTATATGACTGCATTTTATAGAATTCATTTATGTATTATTATTATTATGTACTTATTCATTATTTTGATCTACATGAAACCTGCTGAGTCATAGAAAGTTCTGGGAATGATTATTAAAATGAAGTACTTGCACGTTAAAGACATTCTAACACATTATGTTAAAAATTGTCTTTCATCCAAAAAATATTGAAAAATGAAATGATAACGGTCTTTCGTGAGTAATCTAGCTTATAAATAAAAGTTGATAGCTTAGCTGTTATTGCTATAGTATTTAAATTCAATTTTTTGAAATGTTATGTTAATTTATCTAGTATTCCTTTGATTTAATAATTTCACTGAAGTTTAAACTTACGATTACATTACACCAAACGCTACGTAATTAAAAGATGTANATATATATATGAAAGGTGTTATAGATCTAAACAATATGGATTTTATTAAGTAATCTTTAAATTTTATATTTATTTTATTTACGCTGTTTTCAAGATCTTTTTATTAAGAAACAATTTCACATAGCTTGTTTTTAAAACAATACTTGTTTTAACTTTAATTTTAGGAGTTACAGATTAGGATTCAACATTTCAAAAATATGAGTTTAAACTGGATAATCCAAAATGCCAGTTTTTTCTTATATCAGTTGCATATGAAATGTGATTAATGTAATATATATATATNATATATATATATTAAATTTTATTAATATAGCACATAATTTACTTTGCTTTAATTCTTTTGCCTCTTGTTATTCTAATTATCTAACATGGGTTACTTGATTTCTTTCTATGAACTGCTGCTGACTTCCTGATAATAAAGCGATGTAAGTATGCTATTATTTATTAAAATATTTTACAATTTCCAACTTTTCTATTCTGTATAAAACATTTATTTTAAAATATTTTATATTAAAATATTTTTTCATTTTAAAATATTTTATTTTAAACAGGACCAGAAGAGAATACAGGCTGAGAAGGACAAAAAGAAGGCTGAGGTGCGGGCCCGGTTAGAGGCCGCAGCTCAAGCCAAGAAAGGTGGCGGCAAACGAGGTTTCATGACACCTACCCGTAAGAAGAAGTTGAGGGTAAGTCTTTAATAGAAAAAATTTCTTCTTTTCTAAATGTAACTGATTTTACTTAGTTTTCATTTTCTTAAACTCTCAATTGAAACTTGAAAAACCTTTTGCTTGAACCGATGCAACATGTCTATACATAATTATTGTAAACAGCATCAAAGGTTACTAAGAATGACTGAAAAGATGTGGAAAATTGTACATAGTAGCAGTATATTTAAAAGATGTAGAAAAGTCTACATAACTGCAAAAGCTATAAAAAATAAAATAATTTCCATTTAATCTCGAATTAGGTTTAATAATATAATTCTATATTTCGGAAATTTATAAACCATTTAGAAAGCTAGGCATTATTACATTACAGTTGATTTATTACTATACAATTGGTGAAATTAGTTTTTTTGACTACTATATCACATAATCTCAAGTCAGGGTTCCGCCTAAAGGAAGAATCTTTTAGGGAGCCATAGTCGAAAAAAATGGGTACTACTGCCTTGAGCCTTCCCGACTCTTGGGCAACTTGTTTATTATAATTTTTTTTGTATCTATTATGCGAGAAATTCTGAAAACATATTTTATTCTTTCTAGACACTCTTGAGGAAAAAAGCCGCCGAAGAATTAAAGAAAGAACAAGAAAGAAAAGCCGAAGAAAGGAAAAGGACAATTGCCGAACGATGTGGGCCTTCTAAGAACTTAGATGGAATCAATGAAGGTAACGCTGAACACATTAACAATTTAAAAATATAATTTATTAACATCTAATTAATTAATAATTTAGATTGCATTAAAAAGATAATATGCAAATATTTGATATTATTTCTTAGATGAATTAAAGAACTTATTATGTTCTTTAAGGTTTAGGAAACGATGAAACTTTGTTTAAAAACTATTTGTTCCATGATAAATAGGTATGAAGTATATAGTAAGCTTTAATAAAATTTGAATTTGTGGAATTATGACAAGATTTCGATAAGTGGAGTGAATTTATATGAAGATATTAATATACATACTTCAAATGAATTTTGGAAAATTTTTTTTTTTTAAAAATTTCTTTGCTTAAATTTTAAAACAAATTATTTATTTTAGTTTTGATAGTTTATTTTTGAATTTATGATCAGCAATTTACAAATGTGAAATAAATATAGTTTTAAGAAATATAATCTCTGATGCATGCCTATATGTTGTTTTGTAATATTTTTTTAGTTTAAGTGTAAATGTTGTGGATTCGGCGACAATGTTAATTTGTTTTTATGTCATGTTTCAAGTTTAGTAATTCGTATTTTTTAAAGTTATTTCATTGCCTTTTTTGAAGTTATTTTTAAATGATGTTTTAAATATTTTTCTTAATGTTTATTATTTAGGGATTTGTTTTTTTGTTTGAAATTATTTTCTGCATGCATTGTTTAGTCGTATATATAGACTGTTACTATTTTATTTTATTCACTTTTTCAGAAGAACTCAGAAAATTAGTAAATCTTCCATGTTTCTTAATTAATAAACATAGTATTTGCAAGTTCAAAGTATGAAGCAAATTTTATTTGTGTATGCAAATTTATTTTGCTCTATGTTATAATAGAGAATAGAAACTTAATTGTGTGTTATATATATTGGGGGAACCAAAGGTTTTTGAAAATTAATTTGAAAAATTAAAGAAAATTGCTGAAAATCTAGAAGTATTAATCACGTAGGCATATTTTCTTTTGCTGAATATTACAAGAAAAAAAAATTAAAATACTTATTTAATCTACGAGTTTATATAGCATGTTTTTACATGTTCAGCATTCATTTTAAATAGGAATGACGTTTTTATTTTTTAGTGTTAGATTAAAATTTGAACTTTGGTTTTCCCCAAAAAATTTATATTGTCAAATGTTTTGAAAAAGAATGAGAAAAAATTCGCAAAATTTTGAAAAAATCTTACAAATTAGTATTTTAAAAATAAGATCCGCAATGGCCTTCAATTTATCTCCAGTCAGTGGTTTCAAGCCCACCCAGCTTCTGATCGACGGGTATATACTGGTCTGGGAAGTAACGCTGGCTGGTGCGCAATATACTTATGCTATTGCCACCGTTGTGCCGTTTGTTTCAAAATTGTAGAGATTTTACACTGTAGAAAATTACAGTAAAAATACGAACAATCCGGGTACCAGTACTTTTTACCGTAAAATCCATTTTAACCGAAACAAGTTAAGGAACAAAAAATCTGATAATTACCGTCAAATAGCTGAATTATTATAACTAAATAAATATTTCTATAAAATTTCGATATACTTTTTTACAGTAAAAATGGATTTTATGGTAAAATGGGTTTTACGGATGATGAACCCAAAGTTCCGGTATTTTATGCTGTAATTTGATCCGTAAATTTTTAGTGCAGCTTGTCTGGGGAGGGGGAGGGATAAAGGCGACTTGTGCAAGAGTGTTTTATTTTAAACAACAGTGATTAAAAATAATTTATTAGTTATACTTTTCAAAAATATTTGACAAAATAAAGCATTATTGTTAAATTCTGTCTTTTTCCTTGAAACTCATTTTGAGGATAATGTTTCCTTTTCTTCCCTTTTTCCTCTTTTTTTTTTGTACTTCCCTTCCTGCATTTCCTTCTCCTTCATCCTGATACTCGCGATCTATCTCGTCGGGCTGTAGCTGCCCTTCAGGCCATCTGCAAGGAATATCATCAACGGATTGTGAAGCTAGAAGACGCTAAATATGATTTGGAATACGCAGTTAGACAGAAGGAGTTTGTGGTATGGCGACATTCAATGAGAAACATTTTTTTTTTTTTACATTTTTGCTCTTATATAATATCGGAATGAAAAAAAAGGAGAAGCTACGCCAACTCACGCTTTTTTAGTGTTTACAAACATCGCTGAGATGGTCTGAATTTTTTGAGCTGATAATGAATGGCATTTTTGTTTCGTTCTTTTTTTTGTAGCTGATGTAATTTTACCCTTTTGTGCCGTTTATTCATAAACTTTGTGTTGTTTTATCAAAGTTTTGTGAGTAATATTTTTTGCAAACTAACAATATTTTGTTATTTTGGAATGACTTTTTGTTTTTGTTATATTAAGATGTCTCGCTATTTTGCTTCCGAGATTAAGCTACTAACTAAGGCAAAAAACGATGCAAATGCTTTTTTATAGTATCAGTTATAGCCAGAACAGAACATTTACTAAATAGTTTTTATTTGTATAATTTGGCTTAGTTCAATTCAAATATGCTCTTCAAATAGGATATTTGGATAAATTCAAATATGCTCTTTCTTTTTTATATTTAAGCACTTACTTTTCATGAATTGCTCTAATGATATCAATGATCATAAAAATGGATAAAATTTCAAAGACGCTTGACAAATATCAATACTGTTTTATTTTTTAAAATTTACTTCGAAAGGAAAATAGTTTTGAAAATATTTTCAATTGTAATATTTGACTAAACCTTATTATACTATCATTTATTTAACTTAAAATGGTCGCGCTGAAGATAAAGCCGTATGCTGACGTTAAAAATCTTCACAAAAGCTAAAAATAAACCATTGAAAAATATTGCAAAGTAAATTGTATGTTTTACTAAAAGTGCAAAAAAAAACAAACAAACATTGGATGATTGTTCTTGAAGAAGTTATAAAAATTTCCATTAAAAAGTTAATTCTTTCAAAAAGTGTCAAATGAAAAAGAGAACAACTATCATCACAATTTCTTTGATATTATAACAACAGTGCGTTAATAAGAAATCAAAATAAATAAATTTGCTCCACTCAACCATAACTATTGAATAACTTTTTGAAATTCTGTCAGTGACACAATTTTGGCAATGAAAACTTTTTTTAAGAAATGATAACAAATACATTACGTAAAATTTTTTTGAAAATTTGAAATTTTTATTCCACAATGATTTGCAATCTCGGGGGTATTATGCAAAGTTTATGACTTTAGTTATTAGCTATCATTCAAATGATACATCTTCACGAGAATCTTACCGTTAATTTTTTGCCTCCCTTCCTTTTCCCAATGCTTCATTCGTTTATTTGTTGGTCTTAGTGTATGTTCAAGCATTTAGTTATTATGGCATGCTCTGTAAATGGCTTATTTTAACTGCGTTAATTATGTTTTGCTTTTTCCACCATTCCCTCGCTTTTTGTAGCCGAACTAATGCAAATCTGCAAAGAATTACATGAACGCATTCTTACTTTGGAGAGTGCCAAGTATGATATGGAATACGAAGTCAGACACAAAGAGTACAAGGTCAGTTATTTGTATTTCAGTATTTGTCTATCTCAAAGATTAACAGCAATTGAACGAAAATTACAAACGTCAAAAATTAATCGTGAGTTTAATACTGGATAACTCTCACTACGTTCTCTAAAATATCGATATAATTCAGTTATAAAACATTAATTAAAATTTTTCCTACTATCGGAAGGCTAATTATCTGCTTTATGGTTTAACAATTGCCTTATTCTCGGATGCAATCTCACACGATAAAAGTTCTACAAGAAATACTGATTCTTTGATGGTATTCTGTCTACTTGAGCGGTGATGGCTCATCGATTAAAGCAGAACAGAGTTGAGAACTTGTGAAGAATTGGGATTCAATTTTCTCATGTCTACATAAGCCGTGGTGGCTCATTGGTTAAAGCAGAACAGAATTGAAAACTCGTGTAGAATAGGGTTCAATCCAAACATGTCTACACGAACCGCGATGACTCATCGATTAAAGCTGAACATAATTGAGAACTCGTGAAGAATTGGGGTTCAATCCCCACATGTCTACATGAGCCGCGATGACTCATCGGTTAAAGCAGAACAGAATTGAGAACTCGTGGAGAACTGGGGCTCAATCCCCACATGCATACATCAGCCGCGATGACTCATAGGTTAAAGCAAAACAGAATTGAGAACTCGTGAAGAATTGGGACTCAATCCCCACATGTCTACATCAGCCTTGATCACTCATCGGTTAAAGCAGAACAGAATTGAGAACTCGTAAAGAATTAGGGCTCCATCCCCACATGTATACATGAGCCGCAATGACTCATCGGTTAAAGCTGAACATAATTGAGAACTTGTGAAGAATCGAGGTTCAATCCTCCAGTGGTGCCTTGAAGCCCATTTAGCTTCTGATGGGGAGGTACCAGCTGTCTTTTAAAAATGGCGGCTTGGGCATAATTGCCGTTATCCCATAATCATGCCGTTGGTCACAAAATTGGGGAGCCCTAATTTCCATGACTACCTAGGGCTACTACAGGCTGTTGCGAAATGGAATACTTTACCTTCATACTCTGTCTACATGTAATAATGCTGAGGAACATTTTGTTGACTCAAAATTATGTCCTACGTAGTTTCCCAAGCCAGTTATTTATTCTCATTTATATTCTGTTTGCTCGAGATCCTGTTTGGTGATTTTACTTACGCTGATTTGATATTATTTAGTTCTGCTGTGCATTTTTTTTTCACAATTTCAAAGAGTTGGTGGAAATATCAATTGCAATTAAAGTATTTAGGTTTTAAATCGATACAAAATAAACAGGAGTATTCGTTTGAACACATTTCGAATTGCCAATGAAATATTCTTATTGGCCGATATTGAGCTCCGCCCCCGATTCCACGAATAATTCAAGTTTTGCCCTTGCGAACTGTAAAAAATAGTTTTCTATTTTTAAATATTAGCAGCTATGATATTTTCCTTTGAAAGTTTTCTCCTAAATACTGTATTTCGTAATAAAGTTTTAAAAATGAACTTAAATGAGATTTGTACTGAAAATTTTGAATAACTGAATGAGTCTCCATGATTAATTTGAAAGTAGTGAACTGACAAGTTCTGAAGAACATCTTATAAATGAGAGACAAAAAGTAAACGAGTAGTACCATGGTATATTTAGCATACCTAAATACTCACTTTGTACTTCAACATACATGGTCGTATGTTATAAAGGTTCAGTATTACAAATATTATGTTCCGTATCACTATAGTTAAAATAATACTATAGTTATAAAAAAGTCTCCTTAATTTCAATTTACTAAACTCAATTCAATTTTTCAGTCAAAATTTCAATTTACTAAAACAGAAAAAAGTATCGTTATTATTTGGCTATTTTCACGCTGTTTTTAAAATAAATATAAGTTATTAAATTTTTCCAGCCTTTGACTGTGTTTTTAAATTTACAAACTCATAATTACTATTTTAGCATTAATTTCATTTTAAGTGTAAGCTTAAATGGTCATTATTTAATATGTTTTACAAATTTTATAAAAATTAACATATCCATGAAACTTAATGTGCATAAGTTTTAGCATTGGTAAGATTTGTTTAAATATAACTGCGGAACTTAAAATGTTTCTTAACATTTTTCTATTTAATATTTAATTTTGACGAAATGCACTGAATAAACAAAGCACTATATTCGTATATTTCTCATATTTGCTGAGATAAACTTAAAAATTAAAAAATGAAAACGCATAAATATGTTGCGAATCTTAAATATTGGGATGATTAGGCTAAAATTTTGCAATAGATTAAGAATTCTTTAAATGAATTAGATTTACAAAAACCTTAGTTGCAAGCTATATAAACAAATATTAAGGAAGCATGTTAATCAACATATTTTTCAAAAAATATACATTTAAAGTTAAAATATCGATTAACATAAGTGAAAATAATTTATTGAAAAATATATTTCCTTATAAATAACTTTCTTAAAATTAGCTTTCCATAAGAATGTTTTTGATTTTAATTTTTCATATGAACTTAAAAATAAATGAATAAAAACTATGAGTAAGAAATTATTGAGATCATCATAAAATAAAATTTATGTTTTATTTCTTCTTCATAAAATCATTAAGAATAACAAAATGACATCAAAATCGTTAGGAATAACAAGTGATATCAAAATCATAATCATAAAATCATACGGTATAATGAATGATATCGAAATCATAATCATAAAATCATTAGGAATAACAAATAATATCGAAACCGTTATCATAAGATCATACAAAATAATAAATGATATCAAAATCAAAAATCATATGGAATATTAATAATTATCATATATAATCAACATCTAATAGAAAATATTTACTAAATTTCTTTAATTTTCTTTCAATAATTATCATTGTTTTTCAGATAAATGAACTTAACATGCAAGTCAATGACCTTAGAGGAAAATTGTAAGTTGTTCCTTCTTCGTCTTATTTAAATTCTCGTTTTCAATTTAAAACAAAAGATATATTTCGAAATCTTTATTTAAATTAAAATTCCAAAATAAATTTCAAATTTTCTTATTTATCGTTACTGCATTTCAAATGTCTTTTTTCTTTGTAAAAAAAAAAGCCCTAAACTAAATTTGAATGCTTTTTTTTCAGCATCAAACCACCTCTCAAAAAAGTTTCTCGATTCGAATACGGAAAGTGAGTTGACATTTTTACATTGTTGCACTTTTATGTTTATATTTTTAACTTATGAGTTTATGTATGCAAGAATTGCAAAAAATATATTGCTAATTTATATTATCTATTACCTTTTTGTTTCATAAAGTCAAGTTAGGAGGAATGAGTTCGATTTATATATAAATTATTAAATCAATTTAAATTGCGAAAAAAAAGTAATTTGTAAAATAAGTAGTCTTAAGCAGATTAAGAACGAATTGCAGAAAAACATCTCCTTTTTTACATATTTGAGAAATCCTTTAAACAAAATGTAGTGAAACATCTTAAAGCGAAACTCAATAGCTACTTTCTATCATCATATTTCATGTTCTCTTACTTGCATATTTATATGCTTTACTTTTCATTTTCCTCGTTAATGATGCAACTAGCTTCGGTTGAGTTTTTTTGCTTACTCGCTTAACTATTAACAGATATGAATTTGTTAATTTTTTGCAAGAAATCTGAAAATATACATTATGACCGAAAATTAGAATTTTGAATGCCAAAATGAAATCTGTACTATGGATCAGAAATATGCCACTGCAATAAAAAATGCTGAAAGAAATGTCATTTATCAATAACTGTTTAAGAAAATTCTTATTTATTTAGTGGTTTCACAAAATTATTAACTCTGGAATTCTTAGAACTACGAAGCTATTAAACATAAAATTAAGAATCGTACAAGGATATGGTTATGTTCTCCAAGAAACCTGAGAAGTTTAAAATAAAGCTGTTGTGTATTAGAACCCTCAAAGCAATAGAAAAAGAGAAAAGCTTAAAACAACTTTACGAAGGATGGTTATAAATAAACTTAATGTAATTGGCAAGACACGGAAAGAGACAAAACTTCTGGCTACAAAAGGAACAATATGGTAGTAGTAGTTTTTTTAAAATTTCCATTGCACTATAGCTGCACCATGGGCTATTTTCCTCAGTCCGTGAAATATCCCAGAAGATGATCTGTAGTAACAGATATGTCATAACAATTGTGATTCTCTGGAGAGGGGGCTCCTCCTCCTTAACCTGCACGTGATTTCAAACATATTAAGGTAGAGTAGTTTAACGCACTTTTAATCCCTTCGATGGCAGATCAAAAGTGATCATCCACTTGCTCACTGACAGTTGTCATTGATGATCTACTGGTAATTGTGCTTTCTGATTAAACTATTATGGGACCGATCGTCGGAAAGAATGTATTAGTGAGTTTATTTGCTTATTTATGTTGAATTTTTCCACATTTAGGTTTGAGAAACTTATGCGCGCTGCTAAAAAGGCTGATAATGACTTCAGAGCTAACCTCAAATCTGTTGGACCATCAACAAAATTCAAGCTTGACGAAGATGTCAAGGAGGTAATGTAAACTTAATAAATGTTGAATGTAGATTGCTTTGAATGTTTACAAGCACCTTGCTAAACAAAAAAGAGCTTTTTTTATGATATGTTGGAGACAAAACAAGCTCAGATGTATCGAGGAATTTTATACATTTCAATTTAAAATATTTCATTACAGTAATTTTAATTTAATACGTAACTGATAAGTAGTAATATTAAATATGGAAAAAGTTAAATTTTTTTCCTCACGAGAAATAGCTATAAGACACTCTGTTTTTTAAGTATTTAAATATTTCTTTTTGTGATTTTAGAATAAGATATGTACAATATATAAGTTCAATTTTTGATTAGGCTAAGTGTAAATAAAGACATTAAATGAGGAGCTTAAAGTACTGTAACTATTTTTAGTTTTATAAATGTTAAAAAAAATTTACTTGAAAACAATTAACGTATAGATACAATGTATTAATGATTTTATAAATGTGGAATAATTAAAATAAAAATTATTCTTTATTTATTTAATTGGGTACACAATGCTTTTAAAATAAAACTTTGCTGAATTTTGTACAACTTACTTCTTAAACTTTAATGATTTATTTTCATAAGTTAAGTAGTTAAGCAAAAATTTGTTTTGAATAAAACATTTATTTTTTTGAAATGCACATTTAATGCTTAAATTCAATATTCAATGTTTTAATTAGAATTTAATTAGAAGTTTTATCATAAACTTTCCTCTTTTATGCTACCTAATTTGATTAAGTTTTTATTTTGAATACTGTTCTAAATGTATTGTATAAAAAAAAAACATGTATCCTATTTTTTTAACCTCCTTTCCTTTTTCGTGTTCCATGCATGATTTTTCCCTTTTTTTGCCTTTTCATGTATTATCCTTTGCTTTTAAAATACATAAATTACAAATCTATTATTTTCATAGACCGTAACGAATCCTCTTTATATTCTGTCCCATTTTTTTTCTCTTTCATAATGTCCACAATTTGGAATAAACAGAAATTAACACATTATATGTATAATTTTCTATACGTTTAATGTGAATCTATTCTATATGTATGTTTTTTCGTCCACAGAAAAAAGCCCCCGAATGGGCAAACAAGTAACTCCACTGTTGTTTCACCATCGAATTGTTGAGATCCTTCAGTGTTCGTGCCATTCAGTGATTGTTATTGTCCAATGAACTCTTTACACATTTTGAACATACATAAAAATTGAAATATTGTGTAATTATCAACAGAAAAAAAGAATATTTCGAATAAATATTTACAAAAAAAGATTTCCGATTTCAATTTTAATTGCCAAGATGTTCAAAAAATAACTGCGGAAAAAATGTTTTTAGAAAAATAAAATGAGATAGAAATGTAAGCTTTGCAACGTTCTGTTTAGAAAACTATTTAATTTATTATAACTTAAATTCTAACTCAAGTACAAAGTTCGTAAAAAAGGTCGGTGCTAACTGATGAAAATCGCAAGATTATGTATTCAATTGGAAGGATCTAATATGCATTAAAAACACTGTTTAAGAACGTTTCTGTAAGCATCACAAGCCGCTGTGTCTTAAGGGATAGAGCCTCGGCTCCCAATCAAGTGATCCAGCTTTGAATCCCAGCAATGGCTGGTTAATTCAAATTCTGCAGTCAGCTAGCATCAACCACAGTGCTGACGTAAAATGTCCTCAGTGTAGATGGATCATGCGTTAGAGTCCCCGTGTCGTCAGGCTAACTGTGGAAAATTTTCGTAGATTTTCTCGTCATATTACGCAAATTTGGGGTTAGTTCTATCAAAAAGTCCTCCACGAAGGCAAATTTCTCCCGCTTCTTGTCCCAGAAGTTCCTATTTTATCTGGATTGGGTTCATAATTAAAAGGTTATGGAGTTGAAAATTGGTAGTCGTACACTCAAAATTCGGTCGACTGTTCAACGGTAATTATAAAATAAAACATTATGTATAAAAAAGTAAGCAGCACAATCCTTTGATAAATTAGATTTTCGTAATTAATAATATTTATTTTTCTAAGCAGAACTGAACAAACCGCAACATTTCTATCTCTTAATGAAATTTAAACAGATTTTTAAGCAGGACGGTTAACTTTTTGTGCGCGGCATACAATTTTCGTTATTTTTGACCACAATGTTTTTAAAGAAAGGAAACCAGGCATTTTTGAAAGGTTTTTAAGACGGTTTTCAGCTACCACGTTGAAGTTGAATTGTAGAACAGATTCCATACTGTTTAGGATTTCTTCAGTTATTGATTAAATAAGATTTGATTTTTGAAATTTAACACACATTCAGAGATTAGAATAGATTTAAAATAGCTAAAGGGCCGGGGTTTGTACAAATTTGCTGCTGACAAAACCGTTATTTTTAACCCTTTGTTTTGTATCGCTTAGTAATTTTTCTTTTTTACTAAAAAAGCAGTTACAGAAAAAATATTTTTGCTTTTTTGAATATTTGTATGTGTTTTTGTGGTGTTTTGTTGTTTTGATATTTTTGTGTTTTTGAACGCTACTATTTGTTCTTTGAAATTATATGTATGCATATTTTTGATATAAAATTTGTCCGAAATTTTTAATGACACTTTGCTACTAAATATAGATTTTTTATATTTTAAAATTAATTTTTATAAAAAGTTCAATACTAGCTACTAAACACTATAAACAAACACTAAGAATGCCCTTAAATACAGGTAAGTGCTTATGGCTTTTAAATTTTTTAGATATATTCCCATATATTTTTTATGTATATTAACATAAAAATTAGAATTCAAATTTTCAATTTAATTGCAACAAAATTTAAGTATTTGATAATGTAAACGAATTATTAGCTCTAAATGTTCGAATTATTAGTTGAAATATTATTAGTTTTAAATTCATTATTTATATTTCTAAATTCCTTTTAAATGTAAGATTAATTATTCTGCTTTTAATTACATCTTAACAGAATAATATTTATATACTGCTTTAATATACTGATCAAAAGTTATAATTACCTTGCAAAACTTAGAAACTACATAAATTATATTGTATCTAATTATAATATACAGTGTGTGCTCTTACTTGATTAAAAAACTTCATTTGCCTCGAAAATGTACAGATTGGAAATAACAATTGACGTGTTTTAAGCGCTCAAAAATAGGCTCCCATTTTCAAGACTTATCAAAGTGTTGTTAAATTGCAAAGTGAATTTAAAAACGTAACGTTGCTAACGAAAAAATGGGAAATGAAGGTAATGAATAAAACCAAAAAACGTCAGTAGCTGGGAAAGAATAAAAATAAACGTTAGAAAAACAAAACAAGAAAAAACTCTGTAGTTGAACTGGTTCAGCCAGGGTTAAAAGCATTTCTATGCATTATTGAGGAATGTTTCTCTCATGTTTTTCATGTTTATTTTTATTCTTTCTCGGCTACTGAAGTTTTTCTTTCTCACCTTTATTTTCCATTTTTCTTTGGAAACTTTAGGTTTTAAAATTCGGTATTAGGTATTTTAAATCTTAGTTTCTTCCTATTTACGTCTGACTAGTCTTGAAAATATGTGCCTATTTTTGAGCGCTTGAAACATGTCAACTGCTATTTTGCAATCTGTAAATTTTTGAAGTGAATGAAGTTTTATAATCAAGTAATATCTTACCACTTCAGTTTTTTAGCATTATTTATTCAATATAGTACGCTGGTTAATTGTACTAATTTATACTTCTTTTTGCACATTAGACCAAACCCGACTGGGCCCTTGGAGCCAAGAAGGAGCAAGTTGAGGAATGAGATGATCTCAACGTTCCACTTAAATGAATCCAAATTTTATAACATTATGTTTCCTGGGCAATCAAAACCAATGTGTAAAAAAATAAGTAACTGTTCATACATGCAATGCTGGCAGTATAAGAACTCATGTGATTATAATATATATTTATAAGCAAGCAAGATTCCTGTAAAAAAATAACGATTTTCTGATGCAGTTGTATGCCTTGGATATTTTTTACAATCCGTAGATAATAATTGTGTAACCTGTTGCTCGGCATTGATGTGAAAAGTCTTAATATGCTCGCTCACAGGACTAAAATATTTTGCCAACTTTTATTTACATATTGTATGAATAAAGACAATGTTTCTTGACTTAAATTACTTTTCGTTTCTTTTTATTACCTTACCGTTTTTAACAGTTAGCAGTATACTCATTCCAGTAACGGGATCCTAAACTGTAAAAAATTCCGATCAAATTACGGTAAAAAGTACCGGAGCTCACCGTAAAATGCTGTTTCACCGAAACTTGTTAAGGAACAAAAAATGTTTTTTACAGTAAAATCACTACAACACTCTAATTAAATAAATATCACTGTAAAAATAACGGTATAATATTTTACGGTAAAAATGGATTTTACCGATGATGTATCCAAAGCGTCGGTACTTAATAACTTATTTGCTCCAGAATTTTTTACAGTGTAGGCAGAAGAGCCTTGCAAATCACAGGATATTTCTTTTTCATATTATAAGATGCAATCAGTTACCTTTTAAATAGAGAAATTTTTATTTATCTAAATAAGAATGCGTTTTAAGATTTGGTTCCATTTGTAGAGTTTCAAGAGCTGCTGAAACCTTGAATGTTTCTTTCCTCCATGATTTTTTTAATGCTGTAAACTTGTTAAAGATAATTGCAGGAATTTTGAATTATGTATTCATTAGTTATTTTATTACAGAAGATTTTATTTTATTTTATAAACGTCGTTGAACTGCCGACCCAATTTTGAGCTTACGGCTAGAAGTATTCAACTCGGTAGCCTTGAAATTTCGAATCAAATTCCGAAGACAAGGGAACTCTTGGATCAAGTATTGGGAGAAATTTGCCTTCATGGAGGATTTTTTGATCTAACTAACCCACATTTACGTTGCATAAAGGGATAAATCGCGAAAACCTCCCACGATTAGCCTAACGGCAAGGGGACTCTAACCCATGATCCGTCCACCACTGAGGATATTTTACGTCATACTGTGGCCTCTGTAAGCCAGGTGTGGAATTCGTATCGACCAGCCATCGCTGGGATTCGATCCTGTTTCACCTCTTTGGCAGGCGAATGTTCTATCCCCTAAGCCACTATGGCTCATTACGGAAGATTTCTAAAAAACGAAAATGTGAGATTTTCTTTATGTCAAAAAATTATAAGTAGAAATAAAGTTCTAATTTTAGATGTTTTTTTTAAAGAATGAAGGCCGAGGGAAAGAACGGTTTATGCACATTTTTCATAAAAAATGACTATTGGGCCATCGGTTGCATTTTAAGGATTACCCAGTTTTAACAATTCAGCAACGAGAAAAATTGATTGTCCCTCAGAGATATTACACAGTAAAGATAGGCTGTACTTCTGAAAAACATTTCCCACTCAAGAAATATCTGATTAAAAATTTAATCCGTCAGATAAAATTACTCAGTTTTACCACATTAACCAAATTTTATCTCATATTATAAAATCATATTTTTTTCTCTTCTTGCTATTCATACTATTAATAAACATGATAACTTGCATGTAAACAAAGTAATTCTTATATATTATGAACAAGAATTGGAAAAAAAGTTTAATAAGGTATCGTAAATTAAATTATAAGATCTGAAGTCTTATTTTTTGTGCATTATTTTCGAATTATTTCATTTAAATCTTTTGCAAGAATTATTTACGAATTAAGAAAAAAAAACTCATAATTCAAAAACAAAATTAAAAAATTTCTATTAACTGTAGCATAATTTTGTTGAATGGGTACTAGTAATTTCATGCAAATAATTACATTTAATTTGCAGGAATATCACTTTATATCATCATGTTATTAGAAATAATACGCAAATAGGGAAAAAAAAGAATGAAAGACAGATTTAGCATTTTCCTATACCATTCCGTGCTAAAATAGATGCAAATACGTGAAAAAAAATATTTAATTGAATTAATAATGTAAAATGTAGATAAAATAAAGTAAAAATTAGTTAAAATAAAAATTAATCAAAATAAAAACTAATAACAATAAAATAAATTAATTACCGTGTATTTGGGTTTATTGAGAGTAAATTAGACTGAAAGTATCTCATAGAACAAACTGAAACTTACTTTATTTACATCAAAATATACAAAAGAAGGAAGAGGTTGCCAGAACAGGAAACTCAAAAATTACCTAAATAATCTCGAACTCAACATCGTGTATTAGAGGCACGGCAATTTTTCAATTTTAGATGTTAGCAAATTAAAGAGAATTAGCGTACGAGGTAAATTGTTTGCTTCTACAGGTAAAAATAAAAGTATAATGACAAAATAAATTGAGTCTACAATTACACTCTTCGTCATCAGGAATTTGCCTTACGTTTTCTAAGGCATATATATTAAAGCTATAACAAAAAAAGAAGAAAAAGGGAATGAAATAAGCACGGTAACTTTAGTCTGCAGCAAGATTTCAATATTTGGTTTTAGTTCAGGAGGAGGTTAAAAAAGGCTATTACAAATGTGATGTACTATTCAAAAAGTTTATTTGTAAAACAAATTACTATTTTTTTCACAAATTATTGCAATAAGTTTAGAAATTAAGTGTAAAACCTAACACGTCGTCATAATTATATTTATTATTTATGTGATTACAAGAGTAGATCAGAACGATTATAGATCATAAAGATCAAAATTTTTAAAAAAATACCTTTTTTTGAAACATAATAAGTATGTTTTTTGTTATGTTATTAGTTGTTAACATACCAAGAAATAGAATATAATGGATCAGCAAAATTAGTCCTATAAGTTGCAATAGCATATTCTAGAAAAAAATACAAAAAACGTTTTATAGACTGAAACGTTTTCAAGTAAGTGTGTAAAAATTAAGCATGGCACATTTATAGACTAACGAAGTCAATATATCCGTACATTAACATTTCCTTGGTATCAAAACTTATCATGACTTTAATATGGAAAAAATCCAAATTGAAGTATAATCAATGAAAAAAATCCGTTATAAAAAGATTAACTAAGAATATCATTAAAATTTTTTAAAGAGAGTTAAACTACGAAAAATTACGGGGATGGTGATAAAATTATGAAACATAAACATTTATGATGAAATTATCATGAATATGGGTAAAGGTTTATAAACATACTTTTAAAACACGCACAGTATTAATATAATGTGATCCGAAACTTCTACTTAACAAGGAACTATCGAGCTCAAAACAGTGTTACTAAAATTAGATTTCATAGAATACTTTTTTGAAGTAATTTAAATTGACCCAAAATTACGATATTAATTTCTTTATTAATTTAATTTTGAAAAGTAGTGTAGTCACATTTACAGAAAATATAAATCCTATTAAATCGAAATTATAATTCAAAAAAATTCCTCAAAAGGAGAAGACAGTGAAGTGATTAGGCTGTGATCTTGGCTGTGATCTTGGGCAAACTATATATAACCTTACTTTTGGGCAAACTATACGTAAAAACTTGGAGGACATATCAAGAAATCAAGTCAATAAAAACCCAATTATTAAAAATCCAGTTGTTAAAAAAATCGAGTTATTAAACGATGTTCCACAACCCAACATAGCAGGACTTATTATCATATAGTTAAATTTCCTTCCACTAAAATTATTTCACATTGCTTCTCAGCTACTTACCTAAGTCTTTAAAAATCATTCTATATCGTGCAAAAGTCTAATAATTAATTACTCTTCCAGTATCCCATTCTTTTCTGATGCTTGGAAGTATATTTCCTTTCAATTTCGGCTTCTTGAAACACCAGGAGTTTTTTATGATTTTTTTTCCGAATCATTGTTTTTTAATCTTTTATTTTGTATTTGAACAATGCTTCATTACAGAACTGAAACTTTGATATATTTATAAAATATGATTTATGCTTTTTTTCCACTGTTTAAATTTATCCATATGTATCGCAAAGTAAGCTTTGTTTTCACCTGGATATTTCGTTAATATTTATTTGTAATTTTCTGCCATTCCTTTCCCTTTATTTTGCATACTTTTTAAATTTTTTTTACCTTAGTTTATTTTCTAATTTTGGGTTTACGACTACTAATGTTCAACTCCGTAGCCTTATAATTTTGAACCCAATCCAGAAGACAATGAAACTCCTGGATCGAGTATTGGGAGAAATTTTGCTTTGTGGAATACTTTTTGATGGAACTAACCATCATTTGCGTTTCCTAGAGTGAAAAACCATGAACACCACCCATGTTTAGCCGGATGGCAAGGGGACTCTAACCTATGATCCTTCTACCACTCAGGACTTCAGCATTTTACGTCAGCACAGTGGTCGGTGCGAGTTGGATGCGGAATTCGTATTGACCAGTAAATGCTGGGATTCGAAGTCAGTGCAACTAATTAGAAGGCAAATACTCTAATAGCTGAGCCTCCACGCTTTTCGTCTTAGTTTATCAATACATTTCATTTTGTAAAACAAAAAAAAACTAACAAAACTAATAAATTATTATGCAAGATAAAATTAGAGAAGAATAAGTGCCCATCTCTTTTATCTTAACAATAACACTGGGAACAATATTTTTCTTCTAATTTTCTGTCTCATAAGATTTCTTAGCAGATCTCTGACACTTTTGAATTGCTGATTTAGAATTTGGAATCGGTTTCTCTCTGCAAACTACAGTTTCTTAATAACATTTTTTATAGATATGTACAATTTCAGAAACGTTATATACAACAGGGTGTCACATAAGTATTACGAAAATTTCTAGTGGAGTTAGAACACATCATCAGGATTAATTATTATTACTATATCACATAGTTATTATTACATCA